ATGTTTAGCAATCAAGCTCAGTGGAAGTTGTGATGATGATAGTTATTTCATGCACAAGGGACTGCTGTATAGCATCATCTTATTAAAAGGACCTGGAATTTAAAAGGATTTGGTGCTAGGAGCCACATATGAGGGAAAACATACATTATTTATTTTTCTGAGTCTGTGTTACTTCACATAGTATAACTGTTTCTAGATCCATCCATTTACCTGCAAATTTCATTATTTCCTCTTTCTTTACTGCCAAATAGAACTCCACTGTATAAACATACCACATTTTTGTTAACCACTCGTCAGTTGAGGGACACTTATGTTGCTTTGATCTCTTAGCTATTGTGAAAAGAACAGCAACAAACATGGTTGTACAAGTGTCTCTGCAATAGGATGAGTCCTTTGGGTATATGCCAAGGAGTGGTATAACCGGGTCATATGGTACATCCGTTTTTAGTTTTTTAAGAGTTCTCCACACTGCTTTCCATAGGGGTTGCATGAGTTTGCAATCCCACCAGTAGTGAATGAGCATTCCCCTTTCTCCATACCCTTGCCAGCATTTGGTATCATTTGTTCTCTTGATCCTAGCCAGTCTGATTTGGGTTAGGTGATATCTTAGAGTGGTTTAACTTCGCATTTCCCTAATTACTAGCAAGGTTGAACACTTTTTGAGATGTTTCTTAGCCATCTTTATTTCTTCCTTTGAGAACTCTGTTTAGATCTTTAGCCCACCTTTTAATTGGGTTTCTCAATTCTTTGTTTTTTGAGTTCTTTATATATTCTGGATGTTAAACTTCTGTCAGATGTGTCACTGGTGAAGATATTTTTTCCATTCTGTGGGTCTTCTCTTCACTTTTTGATTGTTTCGATTGTTTCTTTTGCTGTACAGAAGCTTTTTAGTTTAATGAGGTCCCACATTGATTGCGAACCTTAATTCCTGAGCAACTTCTGATTTAGAAAATCCTTTCCTATACCTATATCCTGTAAGTTACTGCCAATATTGTCTTCTAAGTTTCAGGGTTTCCAGTTTCACATTGAGGTCTCTGATCCATTTGGAGTTGACTTTTGTGCAAGGTGAAAGATAAGGATCTAGTTTCATTCTTCTACAGGTGGAGATCCAGTTTTGCCGGCACCTTTTGTTGAATTCCTTGATTATGTTTATGATTGTTCTTTTAAATTCAGTGTTCTGGGTTATCTCTAGGGGGTTCTCCTTGTGGAACTCTTCTTCAGGATTGGTGGAGTTTGCTGGGGACATAGCATTTTGACTTTCCATTTTATTATTCTATTGTTATGATTTTGGCATGTGAATTTCTTTCATTGTTTATGATTCTGATATGAGAATTAAGTTGATGTATGCTTCTGTTTGTATTATCCAGGTGCCTAGATCGTTTCTTTATTGGTTATGTAAAGCTGATTGGTACATGGTTCAGGTTCTCTCAGGTTTAAATCGGAGGCAACTGATGGCTTCAGATCAGCTATTCAAGAGTATCCATAAAAACTCAATTCAGGTTCCAGTCAGGTGCACTCAGGCTTTCTTCAGCATGTGGAGGCTGGATCTGGGTGCTCTCAGGCAGTCTACCCTCTCAGGTTTTCTGCTAGGATCTCAGCCTTAGCCTTACAAAGCCAGATCTGCCCTGGGGCCTTGGGAGGGGCCTCACAAAACCCCAGGTAGGTATGGCACAATTAGGGGAAGCTCACCACCACATGAGGCAGGATCTGGGGCCTCTCAGGCGGTCCCCTGTGTTCTCAGTCCCTCTGCTAGATGGAAGCCAGAGCACGGCACTCTCTAGCGGTGTGCTGAGATCTGAGCCACTACACCGATGAAGGTCCTGGGGTTTGCTTTATTTGAGGGTAATTTGACAGTCTTGAGCACAGGAGCAAACAATGTTTAGGAGGAACTAGGCCTTGTATGGTTGAGTTATTCCCCTGCTACTAGTATTTAGTGCACCAGGCTTGATCACCAGTACTGCCCCCAAAATTAGGAAATTGTACGCAGAACAATCACTATCAAAGGGTAGGCCCACATTGAAAGCACAATGATAGTCAAATAAAAAGTAAATCACTTAAGTGTCAATCATTTTAGGAAAGAACACTCATAACAGTATGCACACTAATATATTAGTCACTATGGGTATGATAGGAAAGGCAAAATAAAAAATGCTCAGAGAAAGACTAGTGATTAATATTTGATTGATAGAGAAAAAGAGGAGGGAGAAACATATATAGAAGAAGGAACAGTAAGGCAAAGAAGGTGAGGTGGTTTTGGCTGAGGGTTTACACATAAGGGAAAGGTAAAGAAATACAATCAAATGACACAGGTCATTCTGTGCTCTCAGGAGCTGAGGCACAGAGATCCTGGAAACCTGGTAACCTATGTTCTTTGGAAAAGGGAAAAAAAAGAGTGGTGGTGGGGAGAGAGCCAGGATAACCACAGCAAGATGAGCTGGCCTGTTATAGTGATGCTGGGTATTCAACAAAGGAGGAATAAATGTAAAATGGGGAGAGCTGAAGGGGGCTACAGTGTGAAAGCAATCTGGCCTTTTGGCAGATTTGCTGGAGATTCATCGCCAGTCTGAGTCTTTGGCATTTCTTCCTAGAACTCTGTCAGTGTTGGGCAGCCTTGTTCTGCCTCTGTGCTTTCCTTTGGGAGATCTGATTACAGATGTGGTCTGGTCAGTAGGCAGTCATTCACAGGTGGTTCCTAGATGCTGTTCACCTGCTCTGAGTTGTCCTTCAGGCATCTATCTGGTTGTTGGTTCTGGCCCTGCCCTTGTGCATCCTTTCTATTTTCTGGTGTGCTGGTTGGAACTGGTGTTTACGTTCCCCTGCAGACCCTGGTTCAGATCATGTTTCCCCCTGACTGCCAACTTAATGAACCCCTGCCACGCTCCCTCAATGACATAATTGTTCTTGTCCAAATACAGTATTAGTCCTATGTAACTTGCTCTGAGTTTCCCAAGAGTGCAGTCCACACAGGGTCATGGCTAGGTGGCCAGCTCAGCAAGGGTCTTTAAAAATTTGTGTGTGTTGCCGGGCGTGGTGGCGCACGCCTTTAATCCCAGCACTCAGGAGGCAGAGGCAGGCAGATCTCTGTGAGTCTGAGGCCAGCCTGGTCTACATAGTGAGTTCCAGGACAGCTGGGGCTACAGGGAGACCCTGTCTCAAAAAGATCAAAAAAAAAAATGTGTGTGTGTGTGTGTGTGTGACATGGACTTGAGTGTATGGGTGCATGTACCAGTGTGCATGCATATGGAGGAGGATGTGAGTGTCTTCCTCTGTGGCTCTCTGTCTAGTCCAGAGAACTGGAAGCTTGAATTTTGGTTTAGGCTGGCTAGTCAACAAGTCCCTGGGATCCAGCTGTCCCTGCTCAGCAATGCTGGGATTATAGGCACATATAGCCATGCCTGGCTTTTTATGTGGGTGCTGGACATGGGAACTCAGGTCCTCATGCTGCACAGCAAGAGCTCCTACCCACTGAGCCATCTCCCACACCTACCCACTGAGCCATCTCCCATACACCTACCCACTGAGCCATCTCCCACACCTACCCACTGAGCCATCTCCCATATACCTACCCACTGAACCATCTCCCATACCTACCCACTGAGCCATCTCCCATACATCTACCCACTGAGCCATCTCCCACACCTACCCACTGAGCCATTTCCCATATACCTACCCACTGAACCATCTCCCACACACATACCCACTGAGCCATCTCCCATACACCTACCCACTGAGCCATCTCCCATACCCCTACCCACTGAGCCATCTCCCATACCCCTACCCACTGAGCCATCTCCCATACCCCTACCCACTGAGCCATCTCCCATACCCCTACCCACTGAGCCATCTCCCATACCCCTACCCACTGAGCCATCTCCCATACCCCTACCCACTGAGCCATCTCCCATACCCCTACCCACTGAGCCATCTCCCATACCCCTACCCACTGAGCCATCTCCCATACCCCTACCCACTGAGCCATCTCCCATACCCCTACCCACTGAGCCATCTCCCATACCCCTACCCACTGAGCCATCTCCCATACCCCTACCCACTGAGCCATCTCCCATACCCCTACCCACTGAGCCATCTCCCATACCCCTACCCACTGAGCCATCTCCCATACCCCTACCCACTGAGCCATCTCCCATACCCCTACCCACTGAGCCATCTCCCATACCCCTACCCACTGAGCCATCTCCCATACCCCTACCCACTGAGCCATCTCCCATACCCCTACCCACTGAGCCATCTCCCATACCCCTACCCACTGAGCCATCTCCCATACCCCTACCCACTGAGCCATCTCCCATACCCCTACCCACTGAGCCATCTCCCATACCCCTACCCACTGAGCCATCTCCCATACCCCTACCCACTGAGCCATCTCCCATACCCCTACCCACTGAGCCATCTCCCATACCCCTACCCACTGAGCCATCTCCCATACCCCTACCCACTGAGCCATCTCCCATACCCCTACCCACTGAGCCATCTCCCATACCCCTACCCACTGAGCCATCTCCCATACCCCTACCCACTGAGCCATCTCCCATACCCCTACCCACTGAGCCATCTCCCATACCCCTACCCACTGAGCCATCTCCCATACCCCTACCCACTGAGCCATCTCCCATACCCCTACCCACTGAGCCATCTCCCATACCCCTACCCACTGAGCCATCTCCCATACCCCTACCCACTGAGCCATCTCCCATACCCCTACCCACTGAGCCATCTCCCATACCCCTACCCACTGAGCCATCTCCCATACCCCTACCCACTGAGCCATCTCCCATACCCCTACCCACTGAGCCATCTCCCATACCCCTACCCACTGAGCCATCTCCCATACCCCTACCCACTGAGCCATCTCCCATACCCCTACCCACTGAGCCATCTCCCATACCCCTACCCACTGAGCCATCTCCCATACCCCTACCCACTGAGCCATCTCCCATACCCCTACCCACTGAGCCATCTCCCATACACCTACCCACTGAGCCATCTCCCATACACCTACCCACTGAGCCATCTCCCACACCCAGCAGGGGTGTTTCTGAAATGGTAATCTGTAAATGTTCGGGTCAGGTGCAGAGAAAGAAAGTACCATCTGGAAGTATTGTCATCTACCTCTTGTATAGGCCTTTTCTTTGTAAAATTTTGTTACTGAAAACACCACACAGATTTTCCAAGTCTATCTTGAGCTGTGTCTCTGGCATCTTTGATTAGCAGTCCTTCTCCCTGTGAGCTGGGAGTGCTCTAAACTGAGCCAATCCTTCCAGGACAGACTCTGGATTTCCTCTCCTGCTTTTTAAAGTTTTCTGCTTTATACTGCTACTAAAAAGTCACCAAAGCAGGGTGTGGTGATACACACTTTTAATCCCAACACTAGGGAGGCAGAAGCAGGTGGATCCCTATGAGATCGAGGCTATCCTGGTCTACATAGTAAGTTCCAGGCCAGCTGAGGCTACAGGGAGACCCTGTCTCAAAAAGACCAAATGTAAAGAAATAAATATATAAAAAATAAAAGTCGACGACATTTGGCATCACCCACTTCTAATATCCCCACCTCATTTTCTTCAGATTATCCCTGTGAGAATCTGGAAGACTGTACCTCGGTGTTATTTGTCATCTTCCTTTCCTGGAATTAGATTTTTTTTTTTTAAACAGAAAATGTCTGTTCTCTTAAAAGATTCTGTTGTTAGAAATCATATATTTCTGATGAAGAATAGTCAGTCAAAAACTACAGGAGAAGACTAGAAAATCTCAGGATATACAGATGTTTCCTTGCCCTGGAAGCCAGGCAGAGCAGAAGGTTGTGGAAAATGGCGGGCTCAGCTGCCCGAGGATCAATGCCAAACACAATGCTTCTTTCCAGGCCTGAAAATCGACGGACACTGTCAAACATGTCATGGTTATAAATGAGCTCATTGTTATTGCAAGACATTTTCCTCTTCCTCATTTCTTTCAGGAACATGTCTTTATAGTACTGCACATCATTTACTGTGCTGAAAAGCACAGCGATATCTCGGAGAGAATAGCCATTACTCAAGAAAAACTGGCATTTCCCTGCTACATAGGTCATCATCGTCTTCAAACTCATGCTCTTAATCTCAACGCTCCCTGACACACCCTGGGCCCAGTTAAACTCACGGAGCATCCCCAGGGACCCAGGAGGGAGGTTGGGTGGGGGCTTGTTTCTGACTTCCTCCAGTTCTTCTTGTAGGTACCTGGCTATGTTGTCTGCATTGCGCACCACTCTTGTGAGCTCTTCTCTCGGATACTGGCGGGAGAAAAGAGGGAGGCCACTAACATCCAAGTGGCTGGTCTGAAAATAGTCCAGAAAGATCCAGAGAATGCCTGGACAATCTTGTTCTCTCTGAGTGATGGCTTTTGCCTTCTCATACCAGTCCCCATCTTCAGTGCGGAAATTCTGAGCTTCATCAATGATGATGTGTTGAATATTATGGTACTCCTTTATCATGAAGGTCTTCCTGGTCACTGCTTTGCAGATATTTTTTGAACTGTAACAATGAAAATGACACAGTAAGAGTTGCTCTCATTAAGTCAGTTTAACTATTCTACCAGACTCCTCTGAACAAAGCACTGAACATGCCACAGACTCTTTTTGTTTTGTTTTGGTTTTATTTTTGTCTTTTTGAGACAGTGTCTCTCTATAGCCCCAGCCAGCCTGGAACCTTCTATGCTGACCAGACTGGCCTTGAACTCACAGAGATCTGCCTGCCTCTGCCTCCTGAGTGCCAGGGTTAAAGGCATGCACCACCAGGCCTGGCTGCAGACAGTTTTATTATCTACTTCTGAAGGATCAGGCTGATTTATCAGAAGAAATTAACCCCAGATTAAATAACTCACAGGCATAGGACCCAATTGCTTACCTGATAAAGTCCCTCAAACGCTCGTTTTCACAGATGTAGAGAATTCTGTTTGTCTCACAAGGGAATGTGTTCCTGATCTTCTCCATGATCTTCAGGGCCATGACTGTCTTCCCTGACCCCGGCAAGCCATGGACAAACAGGTCTCTGGTCTTATGGAGATTTTTTGAAAGTATCTCATACTGTTGGGCTGTGAGCAGGTTTAAAATCTCACAGCCAAGCTGGTCACTCAGGAAAGATCTGAAGCTGAGCAAGACCAGCACGAGGGCCTGAAGCAAGGCCTCCATTTCCTGGGTGTCTGCAAGGTTATAGGAGCTGGGGTAATGGATGGGACAGGCTGACCCCTCTGTGGAAGCTGCAGTGCTCTGGGGACTCAGGCAGAGGACTTTGGTCATGACACATAGCTTCCCAGTATAGCCCCCAGTGTTCACTAGCTTCTGCTTCAGGGTAAAGGCAGTGTGGGTACAGTAGTCCTGACCCCCTGCATCCTGCTCCCCGAGGATGGTGTAGAGGATGGGGGGGCTGTCCTCTGCAATCAGCAGAGCATCACAGATGACTCCCTGCTTCTCTTTCAAGTCCAGGTCCATGGCCCAGCTTCTAGAGAAGATCAGCACTTGGCAGGAGAAAGAATGGATTTCCTGGCTTATTAAGGTCTCTAGACCCTGGTGCTCTGAGGACAGCTCTTTCCAGAGGGAATCAGGAATATATTGCAAACATCCTGGTGACACTAGACATGGAAAGAAAGAGTCGACAATATTTAAAAAAAAAGTATATTGTTTTGTATGAATCACATATTGCATTTTAAAAGGAGAACCAAGTTCCTATAATATAGTATAATTTAAGAGAAATTAAAGAGAGATATTCCAATCTTTCTCTTTAGCTCTAGTTCTGTAAATCTGATAGAATGATGTTGCCTTCCTGGTGACACTAGACATGGAAAGAAAGAGTCGACAATATTTAAAAAAAAAGTATATTGTTTTGTATGAATCACATATTGCATTTTAAAAGGAGAACCAAGTTCCTATAATATAGTATAATTTAAGAGAAATTAAAGAGAGATATTCCAATCTTTCTCTTTAGCTCTAGTTCTGTAAATCTGATAGAATGATGTTGCCTTCATATTATCTTACGTAAGGAAATAAGTTTGTGCCAACCAAATGGAATTTAATGAGCCTAAGCAAGTGGAAATCGTCTATGCAATTGTTCTTACATCAGGTTTCTTGTGTGGAAAGTTTAAAAATTTTATGATAAGCTAATGACTGGAAAGATGTCAAGTAAATTAACTTTGAAAATGGACCTAAGGCAATTATAGTTCCATAATTACCTGGCCCTTGAAATATGTTTATACAGTCAAGGACACCTGTGTATCACAGGCTGTTGTCAGATCTCACACATGTTCAGTGTATGAAGTTAAAGCATTTCCTTCTTTTAGAAACCTAGATCTCCTTTCCTAAGTAGGAATTTCTAGACAAAATCTAGATAAAAATAATTCATGCAGTTGTGAGAAAAGTTACCTAATCTCATCTACAACCTAGAATGATTATTTTATGTCAAATGCAGACTCTGGTGACTCATTCTCACTAGCTTCTTTCAAATTGCTCCTGGTTCCTCTGGGCTATTCTATTCTGTCAAGTGAATGCTTATGCTCTTTTTACAGCTATAATTCTCCCAGCATTAAAAGCTGACTAGAGGCAGTCAGTTACATCATTATGCTTCTAGTCTGACGCTTTTCCATTAGTTGTATTAGATCAATGGGTTCTAATTCCAGCACCAGAACTACTTAAGAAGCTGGCTCAAATGTACATGCTCAGGCCTCACCCCTGGGAATTATATGCTCTAAGTTCCTGGTGGGGGCCTGGGCATCTGCAATTTGCTGCCACTATGCCTGATGACTTCTGGTACCTGGACCTCATTCCCAAGAAATTCGTGGCGTATGACTTCATAAACCTGGTGTTGGAGAGGATAATCTTTCATGGATTTATTTTTAATCAAAGACATTAAACTGTTTATTTTTCTCAATGTAAAAACTGGATGTTCATACCTGGAAATAAACATTGTTGGAGGTTGGCTTTATGTTCCAGACCTTTCCTAGAATACACTGGTCTGCAGCATGGAGGGCTAGTAGACAGACTCAGCTGACATTCAAAGTCTTCTGCTAGGCTTCTGGGGTGGTGAGATGGCTGATCAGCCGCTGCCTCTGTGTGACAGTGATTGAATGGTCAGGACAAGAGAGTAGACTACTGCCAAGGGGGAAAGATTGGAAGAACTTCAGAAACCACAGCGTGGGGAAGCTGAAGCCTGATCCAGAAGGTAATCCAGGCAGCCCTGTAAAAGAGAATGGTAGCCCCACCCGCATGACACCATTCTCACAAGCCTTGAATCCTGTTGAGGGTTCTGGTGAGGCAAAGAATCCACTGACATTATGGTTTAGCAGTGGGGAGGACGTCCATTTTGTCACTTTCCATGTCTCAGAGTGCTATGGCTGGGTACCATCTAGAATGGAGCCTGTTATTTAATACTGAGCTATCCTGGTGTCCTGATGATAAGACAAGCAGATGTCAGGGATCTGGGGTTCACCATGCCACAGTTCAAGGGATGATGACAGTTGTGAAAGGGTAGGGAAAGGAAGGCTTAGAACTGACATGCTAAGAAATTCAGGAAGCAGGAGGATGGGCTCAGGAAGTGAAAGGAATGGTGAGTGGCAGCCTACTCTGGGTAGCTGGGACCTGAGTCCATAACTTGAAGCTAATTGAAGAGTCTGATAGCCATGAGCTTGATATAAGCCATGGCCCAACTAGCAATGGATAAGAAATATGCCCTGAATGTCAGACACTAAGAGACGGATGGGTCCAGATACAGTAATGGTGGGTGACTTAAATACCCCAATTTGATCGATAAGTACATCATCCAGCCCCCCCCCCAAAATCCTATACCGTAAATATAATGGACTCAACAGAACATTCCACCTAACAATGGCAGAATATACATTATTCTCAGCAGTCCATGGAACTTTCTCCAGCACAGATCACATTGTAGGTCACAAAGCAAGTCTTAAGAAATATATATAGCTGGAGAGATGCCTCAACAGTTAAGAGCACTAATTGCTCTTGCAGAGAACCCAGGTTTAGCTCCCAGCACCTACATGGTGGGTAACAACCTAACAACCATCTGTAACTCCAGTTCCAGGGGATCTGACACCCTCTTCTGAGGGTGCACTGGATGACATAGGTACACTTATGTGCATGCAGGCAATACATTCATACACATAAAGAGTAAAAACAAAAATAAGGAAACAAAAAATAATCTCTTGTATCTCATTGGATCATAATTAAATAAAACTATAAACCAATAGAAGAGAAATTATAGAAGCTCTACAAATACATGGAAATTAAACAATGCACTCTTGAATGACCAGTGTGTCATTGATGAAATCAGGTAGGAAATTAAATCATTCATATAATCAAATGAAAATAAATTCACAAGCTTTTTCTCAATGGGTTTGCCATCAGAACACAGGTGTTGTGAAAACCACTGCTAACTCGAAGTCAAAATGTGAAAGGAAAAGACTCACATCAACATCATGGTCATTGGACACGTAGATTCGGGCAAGTCTACCACTATCGGTCACCTGATCTACAAATGTGGTGGGATTGACAAACCCTTGAAAAATTTGAGAAGGAGGCTGCTGAGATGGGAAAAGGCTTATTCAAGTATGCCTGGGTTTTAGACAAACTTAAAGCTGAGTGTGAGCGTGGTATCACTACTGACATCTCCCTGTGGAAATTTGAGGCCAGCAAATATTATGTGACTATCACTGATGCCCCAGGATACAGAGACAGAGACTTTATCAAAAAGATGATTACAAGCACATCTCAGGCTGGGTCTACATGTCCAATGACATGATAGCAGGAAATGAACTGTTTTGGAAGAGAAAAAGTTGTGGGTGACAAGGGAGGGTGTTGGGGATGACTATGATCAAAGTATATAATACAAATGATGAAAATATCACAATGGATCTCACCAGATTGTATAGCAACTAATTTTTTTAAAGGATAAAGAAGACAGAGAAGGAAGAAAAAAGTTTCTGCATATTTAAACGAAAACCACTAAGCCTGTAGATTCCACTCTTCCCCACTGGAATTAGTCATACAAGGCAGTGTAAATTTCATTTGTCTTGGTATAATTTAGGATACGAAGTCAGACACCTCATCCTTTTTTGATCTTTTCCAAGTCTCCAAAGCTCCACTATATATTATTTGTTTATTTTCAAACTCTTTTCTTTTTTGGTAGTTTTGCCATTTAGCCCAGGTTGGCCCCCAACTTGTAATCCTCCTGCCTCAGCCTCCCAAGTGCTGGAATTCCAGGCATGTAGCCACTAGGCTTGGCTTGTTTTGAAGCTTGAATGAGGTTTCCTCATTCAATACAATGTAAGTTATGCTGTGTCTGAATAGCTCTTTGCTTGAACTATAGTGATGCCTAAAATGTTTTCTTAAAATTCTGATCACTTGGTTTATCCCTATACCCTAACTAGTTCCACCCAAAATATACCATGTCCAGTGTTGGGTCTAGACTTTCAGAGCTAGTGTCATGCTAAAGTTTGGCATCAAATAATCATTATTATGATGTTTCATTGAATTACAATTAGAGAGTTTTAAGTAATATATATATTTAAATAAGAAATCCATTTCCATGGGGCTGGCAAGATGGCTTTAGGTAAAGGTGCCTGCCTCCAAGCCTGATGACCTGGGCTCAATCTCCAGGACTCACATGGTGGAAGGAGAGAACTGACTCCTGCAAGTTACCCTCTGACCCCCACACATGAGCTTGTGACATGTACACATGTGTCACACACACACACACACACACACACAGAAATCCATGTCTAACTTTTCTCTTTATTTGTTGTTGTTCTTGTTTTTGAGACAGGGTCTCCCTATGCCCCAGCTGGCCTGGAACTCACTATGTAAACTAGGTTGGCCTTGAGCTCACAGAGATATGCCTACCTCTGCCTTCTGAGTGCTGGTGTTATGGCTCCCCAAATAGAGGCCCCCCCCAATTGTAATAGCCAAAGTAACTTCATTTTGTATAAAGCAGCCACTTTGAACTTCAAAAGCTAGAAAAACAGCCAGCTTCAAGGTTAAGTGCCTCCCCTTAGAAGAGTGCTTTCTTTGGAACAGCTGACCTTGGGTTTCCCAAACACAGTAGCTGCACTTAATCAGAAAGTGCCTTACTGCCAAGGTCTCTATCCTTGTTAAGAGAAGAACTAACACAAGCTTGTTTTGGCTTCTGTAGTTTCCTCATCTGCTAACTTGGGTGTCTTCACTACATTCAGGAGCATCTGGCATCACTCATGTGTGATTAAATTCCTGTGGTATTTGTAGTTTTTGCCTTTAAAAGTTAGTTCCACCCTCCCCTCAGGGCTGTGGGTCCTAAATCTGACTAAGGGACCACTAACGCCTATAGCCCTAATAAATTTGACCAGTTAAAATTTGAATTGAGTCTGGTGGTCTTTTTCCCAGTGTTTTCAAACTCCATAACACTTTGGAGGCACCAGGGAGAAACTGGGAGACCCCACATTCCAGAGGGTCCGGGATAAGACAGGGAGAGTTAGCAAATGCCAAGGCTGCTGGAGCCTGAGACCTCGGTTATCACAAATTGAAGAGTCACAAGTCTGTGGGATAAGCGCCTTTTGGGAAGAGTTAGCACCCACATGGCACGGGATCCGACAGCCTCTTCTGTCCTCTAAGGGCATTGCAGGGGTGCACTTACCTACATGCAGGCAGTACACGCATGCACATAAAATAAATAAAAATAAATAAAACATTTTTTAAAAAAAGGAAACCGCTGGCTGATGGGCACCTAGGACAGAACAGATTGGTGAGTCTTTTGACAGTCCGAACATTTGGAAAGGGGATTTACTGGGGCGGATTGGACGCAATCGCTGGACCCAGTCCCCAGGGGCAGAAGGAGACGTCAGCTACCCCGAATCTGGCGTATGAAATGTTTTTCTGTTTTTAACACGTGAAGGAAGGTGGTCACCAGATAGATTCCTGTGACCGTTTGTCTCCCCTGTCCGCTTGGGTATTTTTGTCTCTTTGCATTCTTCATTTTTGTTTGGTGGCTCTGTGTTTTCTTTTGTGCCTGTAAGTTCTGTTGCAGACATGGGAACCGGAGGAGCACAGGGGAGACACCTTTGGATTGCATGCTGCACCACTTTCACAAAAGTTCTGTGAGGCAGACTAAGGAATTAAGATGTCATCTAAGAAGCTCCCCACCCTGTGCGAGTTAGAATAGCCACGTTTGGATATAGATTGGCCAGTCTCCGTGTCGAAAGTCTGCCGAGTCGTTTCGGGGGATCCCGTCATCCTGATCAATTCCCCAACATCGACCCCTGGCTTTCCCTTCTCCTCTAACCTTCCCCTTGGCTGAAAATTTGCACAGGGCCCCTCCATTCTAATAGATCAGTAAACCAGGGGCTAAGTAAAACTCTTAAGAAGATGCTTGGGCTTTCAGTTTTGGTCCCAGAGGAAGATGTTCCCCCACCGTACCATCCACACACCCAGCGGGGTCAGGATCCGACTGTGTCTAGAGTGGGCCCCGCTGAGGAGAATGCCCCTGCTCCCTCAGCAGCAGTTCAAAGGATCACCCCTTCTGCCAGATCCGTATTCGCCTCCACACACTTGGATCAGATTATGCTACACTGCATCTGAGCCAAGTCTCCCCTCCCACTAGTCTTCCTTAAAGGAAAGCACCCCCAATTGGATCTCCACCAGCAGGTGGGGAGCCCAGACCCCCCTTCTTGGTCTATATTCCTTTTTCCAGTAGTGATTTATACAACTGGAAGGCTCAGAACCCGCCCTTCTCTGAGAAACTGCAAGCTCTTACTTTAGTGGAGACTGCTTTTTACTCATTAGCCCACCTGGGCTCTTGGGAACTCTCTTTACAGCTGAAGAAGGGGATAGTATCCTAGCTGAGGCCCAGCAATCTGTAGCGGGTCTGGGGGTACCTGGGGGAGGGGTACAGTTGCCAGGATCGATTGGGTCTTGCCCTCCACCCTACCAAACTGGGACCCTAATATGGACCTCTGTAAGGGGGCACTAGACCCATCACCAGGCCCTACTGACTGGAATGAGAGCAGCAGCCAGAAAATCTACCAATCTTTCAAAGGTATCTAAGGTTATTCAGGAGTCAGGAATCTCCCTCTGGGTTTCTCGAGCGCCCCGGGAGGCCTATTTGGAGTTTACACCTCTTGACCCAGACCCTACAGAAAACCAGCCAGCTATTAATCTTGCCTTTGTAAGTCAGTCAGTCCCAGACATTGGTAGAAAGTTACAGAGATTGGAAGGGTTTACAGGAATGAGCAGGTTGCAGTTGTTAGGATCCTGTCTTAGAGCAGAATTCAAGCCATCCTAAGCATTCCTGAGCCACAGGACAAAAAACAAGTGAGAGAATTCCTGGGGACAGTTGGATATTGCAGGCTCTGGATACCTAACTTTGCTAGGATAGCTAAGCCACTATACCAAAGCCTGGGAAGAAATGGTCCCCTAAGTTGAAAGAAAAAAAAAAAAGAAAGAAAAGGAAGGTTTTCAAAGGCTTAAAACAGCTTTAATGTCAGCCCCAGCGTTGGGACTGCCTGACATTGCCAAACCCTTCCAGTTATTTGTGGATAAATGAAACGGGATGGCAAAGGATGTACTGACTCAAACTGTGGAGCCCTGGAAGAGACCTGTGGCCTATTTTTCCAAAAGACTGGACCCTGTTGCGGCAGGATGGCCAGCCTGCATCTGAGCTGTTGCAGCTATAGTACTGTTATTAAAAGAAACTAATAAACTGACTATGGGACAAGAGTTGGTGAACCACCACACCCAGCTCCTTTACTTCTTTTTTTTTTGGTCTTTTTGAGACAGGGTCTCCCTGTAGCCTCAGCTGTCCTGGAACTCACTATATAGACCAGGCTGGACCTTGAACTCACAGAGATTCGTCTGTCTATGCCTCCCAAGTGCTAGGATTAAAGGCGTGCACCACCATGCCTGGCCCTTTCCTTTACTTCTTTTATGAAAAAAAATCATCATTCATATAATACCAGATTTTATTTTTCAAGGAAACTTTCTTGTATCCAAAAGCATAAAGATTTAGAAAGGAAAGTCAATTTCAGCAGGTATGAGTTTCGAGAGTGAAGGAAACAGAGGAGTTAAAGAGGCAAAAAGGACAGAGAATGCCCCCCTTCTCACCTGGGTCAGCGTCCATCATCATGCCCACCCACTCCTTAGCTGTCAGGCGGTAGACGCCCTTCTCCTTGTTCACCATCCATGACTTGGGAGCTTCTGAGAACACTGCACAGCAGAACGGCTCCACTTTGATCGCACAGAGGTAACTACACACATTTTTCTCTTGATACACATCTATGAATTTGGTCCTGAAGGACACTCCTGCTTCAGAGGAGCAGAGATGGACAATGGGCAACTTGGATATTGCTTCTGCTATCACTGTCTCCAAAGAGTCACGGTCAACAAGTTCTGTTTTACATCCCAAGACTTTCTTACTCTTATCATCCACTCCAATGAAAAGGTAGCCTCCACGAGTATTTGCAAATGCAGGGATGTACTCTGGAATTATACGCGCTACATATTCTTGAATACATTTTGTAGAGAACTGTTTAAACTCTATAGATGTAGATTCAGAAAAAGCCAACTTATGACCATAATCAATCCTTTCACGTTGGAAAATTTTCAAAGCACGATCTAATTCAGAGATGTCCTGACATTCAGCTCTGAGATTTTTCCTAGGTGGGGCTCCGTTCTCCATCAGACTGCATTTTACACTGCTTTTCTTTTTCTTCAGAAAACTGAATGCTTCTCTTGAATCCAGGGGAAGCACAGACGTTTCTGATCGACGGTACAAGGAAGAACTCAGGCTACAAATGCGAGGCTTAGTGGAACCATCTTCAGGACTGCAGTTCCAAGATTTAACAAAAATGTAAAGTTGCCTCCCTTGTTGCTTGGTCTCAAAGAAAGCTTGTAAATCAGAAGACTGAATAAGCTCTCTGAGTGACTTTTCCAAATCCAGCCCCAACTCCACAGGATGCTCATCCTTGTTGGCCATTTCCATCTTGATCACCCCTCCTCCTGAGTTCAGCAGAGCACATGAAGCCTGAGCAAGTCTCAGCTTCTCCTCCCTTCTCCTCATCGCGTCCAGTTTTTTTCTGTTTTCCTCCCCAAGAGTCACCACTCCTGCATCAATGACCAAGTCTGGGTGAGATGTTTGCACCACCAGCGAGTAGAGTTCTGTTGACATATTGATCCTACAGCTGAAACAATTCGAACATTTGTTTTACTTTTACTAGGAAATGAAGTCTTCCATGCACACAATTCATTCATCTACTTTTTGAGAAATATTTAATCTAGGTCAAATATAATGAGTCAAAGGAATAAACTGGCAAGCATAGTAATTATGCTAGAGTTTGATAGGCAGAATGCCTTCCCAAACAAGAAACTAATGCGGGTGGTGGAGGAGGCCTGTAGCCAGTGGGTCCTTCATAAATGGCCAGCATAGTCCCATGAGAATAACTGAAAAAAAGATGATCTTTATGGTCATGATTTATCTGTGGAAATTGCTGGCAGTTTAGCCTCTGGTGCAGGTGTGTTGTTGGTAAGGTCAGGACACACAGACCCCTAGATGAGCAGGGACAGTGCACTAAGCAATCCCAGGACTGGCTAGTCTGCGGCAGAAGCAGACTATGAAGGGAAATAGGATGTGGTAGAAGACCACAGAGCTCTTGGCCCCTCTCCAATAGCATCTTGGGCCATACAGATTTTTATTAGATATGAGAGATTTTTCTGATCTCTTCTAGATTGTGAACTTTGGGCTAGGTAACAATTTTATTCCTGTTTTTTAGCTCCTAGATTAAGACAGTAATAGGGGGTTGTTAAATTGAATCTGCAGAACTTTCTCAACACTACTACTGGGGCCTGAGTTTTTCTTTCTTGGGCTCTGTACTAGGTGAGCCCCGCCCCCCCCCTCGCCAGCCAAGGCTCGGCCTCAGCCAGTTCCTGCACAGAGCTGGTTTCCAGCCTGCACAGTTGGAAGGAGGGCACAGCTCAGACCGGCCCCACCCTGAGCATTCCTTCCATGACCCTCCAATTCTCTTCAGCCCTTCTTCTGGGGGTACTTGCTGAGCTTGATAAACTTTATCTGGGGCCCCAGGAGACGCGCAGACGTCACCCTGGCTCCGCGCCTGCTCTGCCCACATGCTGCCGGTCCAGGTCTGCTGGTCTGGACCTGGCGAGACCTCGGGGGGCCTGCAGAGCAGTGGGACCTAAGGACCCAGCGACCAGCGGAGACCCACGCAGCCTTACCGGCCCCAGGTCTTCAGCGCCAGGTCAGTACTGATTGTGGAAGGCGCTTTTAAATCCCAACGGTTGGCTCCACCCCGCCAAAGCCCAGGGAGACAAACGGGCCAATAGGAGTGTCTACTAATCCCGGGAAAACTTAATTCCAGAACGTCTTTAGAAGCAACACACTTCCTGATTGCTTCTGGTGACTCTAGCTAGGTTCTCTTTTGCTCTGTGTTTTCTCCCCTCCTTCCACTCTTCAATCCCAGTACTCCGTCACCTGCCCATCGGTCTGTCTGTCCGTGTCTATCGACTTACCATCATCTATCCATGTACCTATATAAATCACAGTAAGACAGAGGCTACAAATTATTTTAAAAGGAGAAGAGACCTTCCCCAGGCCACGTGCTAACTTCAGCGAGGAGGCCCTCCTCTCTCCTACCTTCGGAGCACTCCCGCGAGGGTCCCGCCCCACCCTCAGCCCTTCCAGTCTGGTGGAACGGGCCGGAATCCGGAGCTGGGATGCTCTCCTTACCCCACAGAAAGCTGAACTTGGAGACCAGGTACGAATTTGAGCCGTTCCTTCCAGAACCCGAACTTCTGGCTCAAACCCTCCAGGTCTGCCGGTCTGATGGCTTTCCACTCCTGGGTGGGTCACCGTGCTGCCAGGCCCACTCCGCAGACCCGGTGGGTTTGCTTTGGCCGCTGTGAGCTGCGTTGGGCCACCCCTCTTAACTGTTCTGCTTGCATTAGCGGAAAACGAAACTGCTTCCTCGTTTTCTACCCAGCACACTTCCAAGTTTAGCTCACTGCTGACTTATGATTGGTTGGACTATGTAGCTGCCCTCCTTCTTCAGCTAACCCCCATCTTCCATTGAGCTCTGACAAACTGGGGCTCCACACTTCAGCCCAGCCCAGACTCTGGGGGATTCCAGCCCTGCACTGCTGGCCCTGCCTGAAGGCCCAGTTCTCAGCTGAGTGTCTCAGGGCAGGAGCAGAGATCAGCTCTGTGCTCAGTGCAGGCTCCAGAAACAGAACTCCTCAGGATCTCCACCCTGTGTTCAGAGCTTAAAACCGAGCACAGTTAGCACTCGGCACAAGTCCTTCCAGATCTTTGGAAGTGTGTGCTTAACACAATATACTCATGTATCTACAAACCATCTGTTACACATGGGTAACACATTTTATTAAAGTGACGTCATGATATGCATACTATTTCATAATCTGTCACTGATTCCAAACCTTCCATTTCAGTAACTTTCATGCCGTCATATTGAAGCTTCTCTGTTTTTCCTTAAAGTGGTTCCCCCACCCCCAGATTGTTTTTATAAACACGTATCTAACCAAGGACCACAAGTCTACAGTGTTGAAAGAAAAAAAAGGATTAACCTAGAAATCTATAAGCACACATCCACACACACCCCACACACAACTACACAGTCTCCTCCAAGTGAATAAAAAATAGTAATGTCATTTTCTGACAAAACAAGGCAAAAAAAAAAAAAAAAGTTCAGTAACAGGCACCTTGTCACCAGCAGATTTTTTTCCTGAGAAATAATTATTTTACTAAATATTTTAACTTTTTAATTGAATTTTTGCATTTTCATACAATATAGTTTGATGTTATTTAGATCCCCTCCCCTATACTCACTTCTCCCTATTGCCCCCCACAGGATTTAATGTACTCTCATATATATATAATATGGTCTATAGAGTCTGATTTGTGTCCCCAAATGTCCTTCAGCATGGGTCCATCCACTGAAGCCTCATTAACCTACAAAAAGTCCCATCCTTGAAAGAGACTGTCTCTCCTACTCCCAGCAGCCACCGTTTACCCAAAGTTCCTTAGGTTGAGTTTGGTTTCTCACCCACTTCCCCATGTCTATGCTGGAATTTTGTCTGATCTGAGCTTGCACAGGACTCGTGCATGCTGCCACCATTGGTATGAGATCATGTGAGTAACTGACCAGCTGTCTGGTAGACTCTTTTCTTTGTGGTCATCCACCCCCTCTGGCTATTGCAATCTTTCCATCCCCTTATCTGCAATGATCTCTGAGCCTTGGGAGACAGAGGTTTGAAATGAGTGTCTTATTCAAGGATAAGAACCTCTTGTTTTCTGCACATTGTTCAGTTTTGGGTTTCTGTGTTAATCACCATCTGCTGCATAAGCAAACTTCTCTGGTGAGAGTTGAGAGATGCATTCATCCTGTGTGTAATGGTTGCACTGAGATATGTCACTTAAGGTTAAGCATCTCACAGACACTTATTTTCTGTGTTTGACCAATTCTGGAGCTGTAATAGTCTCCATGTGCTGCAAAAAAGAAGCTTCTTTGATGAGGAGTGAAAGGTACACTTGTCTGTAAATACGAGGATGCATATTTAGAATAAGGTAAGAAATTATGTTAGTCTAGGAATGTCACAAAAGTAGGTTTCTCTCTAGGATCTGTGACCTCTTTGGCCATGTGTCTGTGTTTACAGTACGATACAGGATTTCCCTCCCATTGAGTGGGCCTTATTTCCAATCAGACAGCTGTTGATTACCCCCAAGATAAAACTGCCACTACTACATTGTGGTGGTTTGAATAAGAATGCCCTCCATAAGCTCCAAGTATTTGGACATTTTTGCCAACAGTTGGTAGTGCTGTTTTGGGAGGTCTTAGAAGGTGTGGCCATGCTGGAGGAAGCACATCACTGGGGGCAAACTTTGAGAGTTCTTAAGCCTTGTGGAATTTCTAGTGGCTCTCTGCTTCCTGTGCCTGATTGAAGATGTGATTGCTTTGCTTTCTCCTCCAGCCACCTTTTGCCACCATGCCTCCCCACCATAATGGGCTCTAATCACCCTAGATCTGTAAGCTCAAATAAAGTCTTTCTTCTATAAGTTCCTTGATCACTGTGTTTTATCACAGCAACAGGAGAGTAACTAATACATACATCAGCAGTGATAGTTTGCTGGGCCAGTCATTGCTGTTTATTAGGCTTTACAACTTCATCACAAGAAATGGTAAAAGAACTTTTTTTAGCTAAGGAATAAAATTTAGAGCCACATGAAAGAATGAAGCCTATCCTGTAGGTAATCTTTCTTCGTATTAAAAATCATTTAAGAGATAAAGAAAAATAGCCTATGGTGCTTATAAGACGTTGAAATAAAAAATGTGATAATTACAATAAAAAGATAAAAGGAAAAATGTGAGGATATTGTTGGAATGCTTGTGCATTATACAGGAAGTGACTTGTGATTACTGTGATAAGTTAAAGACACATAGTGTAAGCCCCAGAGTTACCACTAAACAAAATGGATACAAACAAAAAACCCCACATACATGCTAAGTCAACACGAGGAAGGGGAAACTGTTTGTTAATTATTCTGGGTTTGCCATTGCATTAGTTACTTTTCTGTTGCTGTGACAAAACACCATGATCAAGGCAACTTATAGAAAGGAATGTTTCTTTGTACTTCCAGTTTCAGGGGTAAGAGTCCATAATGGCGAGGAAGGCTTGGTGGGAGAGGTGACTGGAGTGGAAGTGCTGGCACAGGAAGCAGAGAACCACTGGAAATCTGGCAAGGCTTAAGAACGCTCAAAGCCCTCAAAGCCTGCCCCAGTGGTGTGCTTCCTCCTGCAGGGCCACACCTCCTAAAACTTCCCAAAACAGCACCACCAACTGGGGACAAATGTCCAAATGCTTAGAATGTATGAGGGACAGTCTCATTCAAACCACCACAGCCACATTCCACCCATCCCCCACCCCGCAATTATTCTGCTTTCTATTTGTGTGGAGCTGCTTCCAACTGAGTTTCATATGTAGCTGTAACAGCTTTCTGGATGACATTAGATACCACTTCCTTCTTTAGCTCTTGGTTGCTTCTTTTAAAAGAGTTGCATGGTTTGATTTATTTTATTTATTGAGCTTTTAAAATTTCATACATTTCCCACTCAAAATCCAGACCCTCTCCCCCATCTATGCCTTGCCCCACTCTCCCACTGAACCCTATGCACTCTCCCATACATGCTGAGTCCTTTTCATTCAGGTGTTTGTACCCAAAGGCCCTTCAGTGTAAATGTGTCCACTGGAGTCTAGTCAGTCCATCCAGTGGTCATATGTAATCATACTCTCCCTCACCCAGCAGCAACCAGTCTCAAATAGTTCTCAATCTAGTGCTGGCTGGCCAACTATTTCTCACCTCTCCCTTGGGCCCTTGTTTCATTGAGCTGACATGGGTCCTGCACTTGATGCCACCACTGCCACAGGCTCACATGAGAAGCCTCCAGTGGCCTGGAAGCCTCCACTTCCCTCTGTTCATGAACCAGCCCTGGCTCTTACAGTCTTTCCTCCTCCTCTTCCGCAATCGTCCCTGAGCCGTGGTGGCTGAGGTTCCATATAGGAGTCCTGTCCTACACTCTACAATCTGTTATTCTCCAAAACTTGGCCAGTTGTGGTCTTCTGTGTGCATCACACTCTGATGTACATGGAAGCCTTACTGGTGGGAGTTAAGGGGTGCATTAGCCCTCTCTCTACCTCTTATTCCACTATGTTCCATGAGCCTTAGTTGTAGAGATTCAACTGCTGATGTGTCATCTAGTACTGGGCATCTCCCAGGCGTATGTTCTCTGTGCCTGACCAGATGTGCAACTCTGCAGTAGCCTCCATCTGTTTCAAAAAGGAGCTTCTTTGATGGGTGCTCTACGGCATGCTTGTCACTCTAAGGGAGGTTCTTCTATCTGGCACTGTGTTCCCTTCCAAGCAGCGCCCAGGTATACATATGCATCAATGTTCAGACACTCTGTGCATTTCTCATAGGGTTTCTAGGTCATCACTCTTCCCTTTAGGTTTCCTGCCTCCCGAGATTCACTCATCTCCACTCTTTTTTCTCCCATCTGGCTTCCCTCCTCCCTCCCTCCCTAGTCACAGTGCCCCTATTATCCCCACTCTCCTCCCAATACCTCCTGACTCCTGCCATCTTTCCTCTCCTGACTTCCCTCACTCCCCCACACCACGGTCCCTCGCATGTCCCTCCCTCATCTCCTCCCTGCCCATTATTCCCACTTTTTCCACCTCCCTCAGGTAACATCTGTTCCCTACTGTCCCCCTTTCAGGTTGTTTCTTTTCCTTCACCTCCATGTATCCTTTCCCTTTTCCTGGCTCCTGGTGTTACACTGGAATTTATATACTCACATACAGGGCATTGGTGCTACAATCCACAAATGAGGGAGAACACGTGTCACTTGCTTTTCTGCATTTGTGTTACTTCACTTAGTGTAACACTCTCTAGCTCCATCCATTTACCTGCAAATTTCATAATTTCATCTTTTCTTATTGCTGAGTAGATTTCTTACTCCATTGAGTAGATGCACCACATTTTCATTAACCATTCGTCAGTTGAGAGACATTTAGGTTGTTTCCATTTCTTAGCTATTGTGAAGAGAGCAGCACCGATGGATGTACAGGTATCTCTACAGTACAATAAGTCCATTGGGTATGTGCTAAGGAGTGGTATCACTGGATCGTATGGTAGGTTCATTTTTAGTCTTTTGAGGGTTCTCCATCCTGCTTTCCATAGTGGTTGCACAAGTTTGCATTCCCACCAACAGCGAATGAACGTTCCTCTTTCTTCACATCCTTTCCAGCATTTGGAGTCTTTTTCTCTTGATCTTTTCCAAGCTGACAGGGGTTAGATGGGATCTTAAAGTGGTTTTAATCTTCATTTCTCTAATTACTAAGGATGTTGAGCACTTTTTAAGGT